TGAATAAACCTGTTCTGGGATTTAAAAAATGAGATGATAAAAAGTAAAAAGAAATTTACATTAAAAGGATTTTATTTGAAAAAATCTTCATAATCATAACTTTCCATCACCAGCGTTTTTTTAGTTATTAAAGCAGAACACTACGAGCTGCTGTCGGCACACAGGATCTCAGGTTGGATGGAACCGAAATTAAACCAGGCACTAAGAGATGGAAAAAAAAATCTACATGCAAGAAATACATTCAGGTCTAATGTCGTTAAAACAAAATTACTCACAAAAAATAGTGATTAGCAGTGGTTAGACGCCACTTTCAAGGCTTACGGTAGCAGCTGCTACATCGCTTCTGATTCCCCCCTTTTTATTTCACTTCATAAAACAAAAACAAACACATATTGCACACAAATAACACAAAAATAAAACAGTATTAGAAGAGAACAAGYTCCGCTCTGGTCTCAAAAGTCCCGCTGATCAGAAAATCCAGACGCAGAAGGAAATTTTCTCCCGTGATGAAACTAATATTTAAACCTCAGTCACAGTGGATGGGATTGTTACCGTTGTTTCGGACGTCTGCAGGGATGGTGAACAAAATGGCTTTGCACCGGGTAGAAACTGAGGTAGATTAAATCAGGAGGCAACTACAGAAAACACAAAAACTAAAATGTTAGTTTGTTTCKCGGAAATATTTGACCAGAAGTGAGAAAGAGCCGTGAGTTCAGTCTGTAATGATGAAGCACCTCTTCAGACAGTTTCTAYGTGAAATATTAATAAAACAAGAAAAGCTTTGGATTCCTCTAGCTGCTGTCTAAACTTTAATGCCCTCGACTCATTTTCATGTCGCAAAAACACGCAGATTCACTCACAGCTGAGAAACTTCCATCATAAAAATCACAAATCGAGTAGTTTAGTTTACTTTAACCTGAAACGTTCTCATCAGTGCTTTTAGGTCTTTAGAAAAAGAATAAAAAATATTGATTTTTTTTTTGCAGGAAAACACTGAGTCGGGCCGCTGCAGTACAGCAGCTGTCCTGCTAGAGGGCAGCACAGCTCCACCTGGGTTTGTTTGTTTGTTTTTGCTGAGTCATCACAGACAATGAGCTGAAATGTTCTGACAGTGGAATAAAACTGCACGGTTCTGTTATGTGGTGAGCAGAAGAAGTGACGTTAACTGTTAGAAACCATGACTGAAATCAATGTTTTGAAATAAAACAACAAAAACTAAAAACACGCAAATGATCCCGTGAGAAAATTAAAATAATTAAGTTAAAAACATAAACCGTTTGGACCCAGTCGTTTCGTCCCTGTAGCAGTTTCCCTCTGGGCTGATTAAAACCATGATGGCTTGTGCTTCGAAGGGCTTGATGTACATACGTTTTTTTTTTGTTTTTGTTTTTTTGCAGGATAAGGCAATCGTTAGGAGTTCAGGGAGGGGGGGAGCATTTCCCTGCAGGGTTCAGCCTGAGAAGGCGCGGCACCGTTTCAGTGGGCTTTGCCGTTGCCGTTCATGTGGCTGGCGTTGGGTTTTGGCACCTCGGTGCTGTAGAGGCAGTCCAGGAAGCCCCGGGAGATCTCCGTCACCAGGGACCGGTCCGGGATGGACTGGGCCATGCCGTAGATCGCGCCCTGAAACGACAGGAAGTCAGCGTTCAGACCAGGTTCTCCTCGACACTGGAGCGTCCAACACACCCAGAGCTGTACAGGAACTAAGTACAAATACTTTGTTACTGTACTTAATTAGAATTTTTGGGTATCTGTACTTTACTTGAGTAATTATTTTTCAGCCTACTTTCTACATCTACTTCTTACATTTTTAAAAAAG